GTCATGAAATCCAAAGACCTACATCCAAGATTGCTCTATCCAGCAAAGCTTTCATTTAGAATGGAAGGACAGATAAAGTGCTTCTCAGATAAGGTCACATTCAAGGAGTTCATCATCACCAAGCCCTTATTATATGAAATGTTAAAGGGACTTATCTAAGAAAAAGAAGTTAAAGAAACATGAACAGTGAAAGAACAACAAGCTCACAGTTATTAACAACCACACCTAAAACGAAAGCAAACTAAAAGAACAGCTAGATCAGGAGTGGAAATATAGAAATGAAGATCTCAAGGAGGGTTAGCAACAGGGGAGTGGGAGGAGGAGATGGGGGGAGAAGGTACAGAAAATAAGTAGCATAGATGGTAGGTAGAAAATAGATAAGGGGGAGGGCAAGAATAGTAGGGGAAATATAGAATCTAAAGACTTGTGACACATGGACATAAACTAAAGGGGGGAATGGTGGGGGAGGGGGTATGCAGGGTGGAGGGGAATGAAGGGGGGGGAATGAGACAAGTGTAATGGCATAATTAATAAAAAGAAAAAAATGGTCAAAAGACTTGAACAGACACTTCTCCAAAGAGGACATACAGAGGGCCCAGAGACATATGAAAAGGTGCTCAGCACCACTAGCCATCACAGAGATGCAAATTAAAACCACAATGAGATACCACCTCACATGGGTCATAATGGCCATCATAAACAAATCAACAAACAAGTGTTGGAGAGGATGTGGAGAAAAGGAAACCCTAGTGTACTGTTGGTGGGAATGTAGACTGGTGCAGCGACTGTGGAAAACAGTATGGAATTTCCTTAGGAAACTAAAACTGGAACTGCCTTTTGACCCAGCAATTCCACTGCTGGGATTATACCCTAAGAGCCCTGAAACACCAATCCAAAGAACCTATGCACCTCAATGTTCATAGCAGCACAATTTACAACAGCTAAATGCTGGAAGCAACCTACATCCCCATCAGTAAATGAGTGGATCAAAAAACTATGGTACATTTACACAATGGAATTCTATGCAGCAGAAAGAAAGAAGGAGCTCCTACCCTTTGTGACAGCATGGATAGAACTGGAAAGCATTATGCTAAGTGAAATAAGCCAGGCAGTAAGGGACAAATACTGTATGATCTCACCTTTAGTATAACCAACTGGAATATAACCAACAAAAGAAAAAAGCAAACAAAATATAACCAGAGACATTGAAATTAAGAACAATCTAACAATAGCAAGAGGGGAGGCGGTGGCAGGGGACAGTGGAGAGAAGGGTTTTCAGGAACTACTGTAAAGGACACATGGACAAAACCAAGGGGGAGGGTGGAAGCAAGGGAGGGAGGTGGGTTTTGCTGGGGTGGAGGGGATTGGTGGGGAGAAAATACAGATAACTGTAATTGAATAATAATAAAGTAATAAAAAAGGACCATATAGTGTATAATAGATTCTTCATTAAAATTTTTGCATACTCAATAACATGTTTTGATAGTCAAACACTGAAATCTTTCATTGTATTTTACCTATCCCTGCTTTCTTCTCATTCTTCTCCTCTTTATAAGTTGTATTTTGCATCTAGTTGTTCAGGATCATTAACTTTTGTTAAGTTATTTTTATCATTATTGAGTGATCCTGTTTTTCTCCTTAATGATTTTGCTCTAAAATTTTATATTGTGGTAATAATACTTGACTTTCCTAAATTATACTGATGTGATAGATCTTAGATCTCCTAGTTATTTTTAATGTCTTTTTAACTGTCTTGTTGCCAGCAAATATCCCTGGCAACTTTTTCTACATGAGAGTTAATACATTTGCATTTAATGCTCTATTTGAGAGATATTTCTACTGCCCTCCATTTTAATGGGTGTTTGCTGTCTCCATTTAGTTATGCAGTTTCTATAGAGGACTTACAACTCATTTTTCTTTTAGCATGATTATAAAATTGTCTAAACCACATATTTTTTCCATGGCAGGATCAAACACTTAAAATAATAATCATAATATTTTTTCTGCAACTTCTTAGCTAAGCAACCTTTGAAGCTATTTCTGGAGGTGATTAAGGGCAGAGATATTTCTGCAACTGGTCACCCAGCCAACCTGGCTCCTTACCTGTCACATTACAGCCTGGAATACTGTGTTTAGACTCCTCAGGCAGGTTAACGTCTAGTTGTAGCCTCTCTGCCAGCAGCTTTGACAGGGAATACTCAGCCCTGTCTGGCAGGTGTTTTAACATTTTTCAGGTACTGGCGTTGTGAGCCACTCTTGAGGGCAGGATGGCCAAGACTGCTTCGCTCAGCCCCAACCAGGGAGCTTGTCTTCCCCTGAAACAAGGTGTTAACCTTAAAGCTCTTAAGCCGCTATCCCTTTTAATTCAAAGACATTTTACATTTCTTAGACTCTAAAATTGTTCATGTTTTTTGCATTGTTTAAAGATATTTTGATTTTTGTCTACTCAATTTTTACATTTCTGAGTGTATTGCATTTTTATGTCTAATCTGCTGGAATTTCCTTCTTATTACGCATCATTTAACTTTTATTCTCCTATTTAAAATCTTTTGTTGTCTGAATTTAATATTATGTTTATCTTTTTATTGTATTTATTGAAACTGTATTACATGTTAAACTTTGACTTAAAAAAAAATTAATTGATTGGGCCCTGGCTGGTGTAGCTCAGTGGATTGAGCACGGGCCTGCAAACCAGAATATTGCGGTTTGATTCCCAGTCAGGGCACATGCCTGGGTTGCAGGCCAGTTCCCAGCAGGGGACGCATGAAAGGCGACCATACATTGATATTTCTCTCCCTCTCTCCTTCCCTTGTCCTCTAAAGATAAATAAATAAAATCTTTAAAAAAAAAACCACTGAAATTAAAAAAAAAAGTATCAGTTGATTTCAGAGAGAAAGAAGGGAGAGAGAGAGAAACATTAATTTGCTGTTCCACTTATTTATGCATTCATTAGGTGATTCTTGTCTGTGGCCTGACTGGGGATCCAACCCACAACATTGGCATATTGGGATGATGCTCTAACCAACTGAGCTAACCAGCCAGGGCTAATCTTTGACTTTTATCTAATCTTTACATTATATTTTCCCTTTAATTTTAAAAATAACTTATCATTAAAAAAAGATTTTATTTATTTTTAGAGATAAGGGAAGGGAAAGAGAAAGAGGGAGAGAATCATCAATATATGAGAGACACATTGATTGGTTGCCTCTCGCACACCCCCAACTAGGGATCTGGCCTGCAACCCAGGCATGTGCCCTGACCAGGAATCACACTGGTGACCCTTGGCACTTAATCAACTAGGCCACACCAGCCAGGACTAATTTTATCATTTTAATTATCTTTCAATTTTACTTTCTTTCATCTTTATTTTTCAGGGTATTTGCTATTTTAATTTTTGACTCTTTGATTTACTTTATAAATTTTATACTTTCTTAATCTTTTAGCTGTTGGTGTTAAGCAATCTTTTATCTGTAATTAATTCTATTATTTATTGTTAAGCAGTAATTCTGGTTTTTAAATATTTCCCCAGCTTTATTGAGATACAACTGACACACAGCATTGTGTATGTTTAAGGAGTGTGGTGTGATGATGTGATACTTACCTATGATATGAAGGAAAGGTGAGTAAGGTTGAGTTTGCATCCTTTGACCACTGTCACCCTGTCTCCCCTGTCTTCTGGCAGCCACCATCCTACTCTCTGTTGTGAGTTTGGCTCTCTCAGACTCCACATAGAAATGAGATCATGTAGCATTTGTCTTTGTCTTATTTCACTTAGCATCATGCCCTGAAAAGTCCATCCATGTTGTCATAAATGGCAGGATTTCCTCCTTTTTAAAAAATCTTCACCAAAGACATGTTTTTCATTGCTTTTAGAGAGGGGGCGGGGAGAGAAACATCAATGTGAGAAAGAAATGTCGACTTGGCTGTCTTCTCGCAGGTGCCCCGACCAGGGATCAAACCCGCAACCTGGGTATGTGTCCTGACCGGAATCAAACCTGCTACCTTTCGGTCCATGGTACAATGCTCTAGCTAACTGAGCCACACTGTAGCTAGGGCTTCTTAACATTCCATGTTGTATATGTATGTGTATGTCTCTATGTTACTGAACAAGAGGTCCGAGGGAGGGGCAGTACAATATTTAGCCCACCTAGGGATGCCCAAAACTGCTATACAACAGGGGCCCCTCCCAAAAATAAAATACTAAAATCTACTGGGCCCTTCTGTCCGCCGCCAATTGGAAAGACATCTCTTAATGCCAGAGATTTGTGAAAAGGAAACAAAATGTTTATTTAATGCTATTCAGGCCTAATGCCACCACTAAAATATCAAAGTCCTTTAGGGTATACACCTTCACCCACACAGCGCTCCCTTCTCCCACTGTCCCAACTCCGGGTACTGTAAATCAGGAAAAGAGCACACGTCTGTATTGCAGGCTGCTGGCACCGTCAGCTGTGTCACTGTGCAGGATCTCGAGTTAATCCAAAGTACTGTGGTACCCTCTCATGGTCCACTGGCAAGAGTCCTTTGTACCCAGTTCCAGTCAAAGTCTCTCTTGCTTTTTCAGGCCACGTGGCCAAAGGAGGCATCCCAAAGCCACGTGGGCCTCTTCTACCAAAGCTGGAGTTCACACTCCACCAAAAGCATGTGGCTTTCTTCTTCACCTGGCTGCAGGGATCTCCATTCTGGCAGAGCTGCCTGGTTTTCCCTTTCACCTGGGCAGTTATCCCCTCATGTCCTGGAGCCCATCTTTTCCAAGCTCCCACACAGGATCTCTCACTCAGGAGCGCAGCCCCCTAGTTTCATCTTGAGTCCTCAAGCCCTTCTCACTCAGGAGTGCAGACCTTAGTTACATCCTCCTGAGTCCTCCAAACTTGGCCACTCCTATTTAACATATCTATGAAACCAGTTAAAGATTATAGATATGTTAAATAACCATTCCAGAGGTTAGCTGCAAAACTGTTGCTATGCAAAACAGCTCTCAATGGCCTGGCTCCATTCGTTTCTTCCCCCTGGGGAGGGGGGGTGAGGACATCTTACATGTCTCTCCAATATTCCTATACACTTTGAATTCTGGACACCATTCCAAATCTGTTTTTTGGGCCCCCCCCCCCCGGCTGCACCCTGTATCATCTAGATATTATATATTTAATATATCATGTATATTAAATATATATACTCTCACATTTTCTTTATCCTTTCATTCATTGATGGACACTTAGGTTGTTTCCATGTATTGGTCACTGTGAATAATGTGGCACTGAATGTGAGCATACATATATCTCTACAAGACAGAGATTTCATTTTCTTCAGGTATAAACCCAGGAGTGGTATTGTTAAATCATATGATAGTTTTATTTTTAATTTCTTGAGGAAGTTCCATACTGTTTTCTATAGTCGCTGTACCAATTTACATTCTCACCACCAATGTACAAGTGTTCCATTTTCTCCATATGTTCACTAATACTTGTTCTTGTCTTTCTGAGAATAGCCATTTTAAGAGTTGTAATGTGATACCTCATTGTGGTTTTGATTTGCATTTCCCTGTTGACTAGTGATATTAAACATCTTTTCATTTGTATATCCTTTTTGGAAGAATGTTTATTCGATCTTCTGCCCACTTTTAAATTGGATTTTTTCCTGCTACTTGGTTGTATGAATTCCTTATATGTTTTGGATATTAACCCCTTATTAGATATATAGCTTGCAAAGATTTTTCTCCCATTTTGTAGGTCGTGTTTTCATTTTGTTGATGGTTTCTTTTGCTGTGTAGAAGCTTTTTAGTTTGGTGTTCCAGTTTGTTTATTTTTGCTTTTGTTTCTTTTGGTGTCATATCCAAAACATTGTTGCCAAGACCAATGTCAAGGAAGCTTTTTCCTCATGTCTTTGTGTAGGAGCTTTAAGACTTCAATATAGGGTCTTAAATTTAAGTCTGTGATCCTTTTTAAGTTAATTTCTGTGACTGCTGTAAGATAGGGGTCCAATTTCATTCCTTTGAATATGAATATCTAGTTTTCCCAAGGCCATTTATTGAAGAGACTCCTTTCCATTGAGTATTTTTGGCTCCCTTGTCAAATACTAGTTAACCATATATGTGCGATTTATTTCTGGATTCTCAGTGCCATCCTATTGGTCTATGTGCCTATTTTTATGCCAGTAGTATATTGTTTTGATTACTTTATAGCAGTGGTTCTGATTTTCTTGCTCCACAATATACCTGAGAGGTAGAAAACATTCCCTTGAGTGACAGTAGCCCCTTATGTCTGAGGGAACTCTGTATTTCATTACACTCTTAACAATTTATGCCAGGGCAGCAGGCATAAGTCAGCATTGTTCCAGGGAAACTGGGACATATGGCACCACAATTACAGCAGTGGTTTTCAAATAGGGGAAAGGGCTTAATCTCTGAAAGAGTGTATGTCAGAATAGCCAGAGCAATAAGTATCAGTTAGGCCTAAGTAGAAAAACAAAAATAATAGCAGCTATTTTAAGAGAGAGGATTTCACACAAAGAATTGTGAACCAGTGATTGAGATGACTGAAAGACAAGAAGGACTGAAGTTTTGTGGAAGTAGGACTGCAGGAAGCAACTGCCACTCATGCAGCTGGGAAAGAAAAGATGTGGGGATTATTTGAGTCATGCCGCTCTAAGACGAGACCCCCCCCCCTTCTCCCAAGGGGCTAGAACGTGGATCCCTGAGCGTGGGGCACTGGCTGAATGCTGCTGGTGCCACAGGAGCTCAGAGGTATCTCTGCAGAGCTGGGAGTCAGGCCTGTAGGGAAGAGGTGCCTGCTGGTGGGTGGTGGTATCTCTGAAGGGGCATAATGTTTGGAGAGTAGAAACGACCTGCGACTTGCAGTCAAGTGTTGCTGCTAACAAGTGTTGATGACAGAATGAAGAACGACTGCTATAGGGACCCTGACAGGAACAGACAGCAAACAGGAGGACTAGGTCCCTTACCTCTTTAGTGTCCTAGTTCCTCTGTACAGCCAGTTAGACGACCCTGACGGGAAGAGCTGACATAAGAGAAATATGATTTTCAGAGTCCCAGGCACAGCAGCCTAAAAGAGAGCAAAGAAGGGTAGATACTTAAGAGAAAATAGCTTCATAACTATCACATTTTATCCCTTTGGCCATTCATCACCTGCTGAATTATTTTATATATATACATAACTTCCACAAAAGAACAAAACAACTTTATGTCTTTGATGACAAGATGCAACTTTCCTTTGTACAAGTAAAGACATTCTCCTGCTCTCCCCATAATGAGCAGACACACAGTCCTAACATTCATTGTATCCGTCTCTGGGTAATAAGCACAGTATCCTTCTCTGGAAGATAGGTGTATAGCTGGCAATAAACAAACAAACAAACAAAAAACAAAACAAGCACCCTTTCACCCTATTCTATGTCTCATTAGAATGAGGACTCAACACATTTTTCATTTTCCAGGAGAGAAAGGAGTCCATTTTGAACAGGTTTGTATCTCTGAAAAATAGCTTCATTAAGCTTCAGGTGCTACTTCAGAGTGATTATTCTACTCATAATGCTACTGCTACTGAACCCACTTTCGGTTGCCTGCTGCTTCAAGAGCCAGTACTCCAGAGACAGGTGCTGGTGTAAGGGAAAATGGTTTATCAAGAGCCGGCAGCCTGAGAAGATGGGAGGCCCTTGTCCTAAAGACCATCTTAACATCTCAGTACAGCAGAGGTTTTTAAAAGGAGGGAGAGGGAAAGCAGAACAGAGAGACCAAGGGGACAGGATTGAAAAGTTTTTTATCTGCAGACCAGCACAGTCCATTATGATAAGGATCTTGAAACCGGTCGAGGGATGGTCTGGTGTGCATCCCCCCCGGTTTTGCATTATCCCAGTTTTACAGTAGAAGGTTAGCAAACCTCCCAAAGCTGAAATGTCTGAAGGTCATGGTCCTTTTGAATTAGTTACTAGAATTCTTATACAAAATGCTATGTATCTATACACATTACATATTAATCAGAGTCACCAGGTGGAGGTCAATCTGAGTCAACCCACTTACTCTGCTTAGTCTGTTCTGTTCTTAGCTGGGACAGGAACTGAAAACGGCTAGTTCCCTGGAACACTGAATCCATGCTGTTAGCAATTGTTAGTTCTCATTATTATTTCTACAGTCACAAGGCTGCCAATTCCTTCCGATATCTGGGTTAGCATTATTGATTACTATGGCAGTATAAAAGCTATATAGCCAGTTATCAGACTTCTGTTTATTCCAATTAGATACCCTGTCTAAGAGAGTGTTCCTGCCTTCCCTGGAACTTGTCTGCTCCAAATCCCCATCAGCTAACTATTGGACCCCATGTAGCTCTTCCAAGCAGCTACTGCAGGGTATACAGGAATCAAAGGAAATCATTCCTGGTCTTTGTTCTTACACCTCTCCTCAATCTGCTCCTCACACCTGATCCAACAGTCTTCTGACACTCCTAGAACACTGCATTTTTCTTCTCATCGTTGCCTCATTGACTCAGTTACACCCTTGCATTATTTTTTGACTTTACACCTGGCACTAGCACCAGCTTTAGAACTCTTCTACAAATGACATGGTTCTTTTTCTGTTTATGCAGACTCTGCCCAGGACTCATCCAGCTGACCCAGCAGGATTGGGCACTGACAATGTCCGTGTGTAGTTGTGCAGTGACACCTCTGCTCACACACTCTCCCTGCTTGTATTTTCCAGGCTGACTCTGCTCTCTATTACAGCCATGATTTGCAGTAATTCTCCTGAGCTTCTTGACTATCTTATGAATTCTGTCTCTGGGGCATTCACTTGTTTTGAAAACCTGACAAACTCCTTTATTCCAGCCAGTTGGCTAATCTTACTAACTTTTGGCCCACTGGTGCCAGGCTTGTTCATTTAAGGGCAATTCACAGAATTGGTAGCTATAATCCCTTAATCCTACATGGCATAAAAGTAATAGCTTCTTCCTTCCAGGCTAGGAGATTTTTTGGAACACACTCCATCCTACCCAATGACCAAGTTTTAATCTGTGAGCTTTTCTTCTGAGGTTTAATATTTTGGATCTAGAAGGACTTGGATTTGAGAGAATAAATGACCTTATTTTCAAGGCAGCAGGTGCTTTTTTCTAATTCTTTGAAGTCAAAGTGTTGACAAAGGCAAGGGTGAATTGACTGTTCTAATCTTTGTCCATATCATTTATACAAGCACCAATACTTGCTTTTTAAAATTTGGTTCCCAAAAATGGTAAGACATGCATCATGTACACTCTTTCCACCAGAGTAAATTGTGTCTGTATTTGTCATTCCACTGAATCACACAGAAAGTCTTTACCCTGAAAATTGGCATAATTATATACAGAGCTTGAGTCCCAGGACCTGTTCTGAATCACTCAACTTGTGTGACTAACTATTGTTTCCCCCAGGTCGTATCCCTAGGGACAGTTGTGTGCATTTAAGATGAAAGATCCTGGTCAATTGGTTTACATATAAAATTTAATACTAATGAATAGAAAGTTAGGTCTACTGTTATGAACCAGTGCTTCTCAACTTTGCATTTGGCTGTGAATTAGCTGAGGGTCTTGTTAAAATGTGGACTCTGATTCAGCAAGTCTGGTACAGAGCCAGAGATTCTTCAGATTTTAAAATAAATTCCCAGCTAATGCCAGCAATACTAGTCTACAGAATATATTTTCAATAGCAAGTTTCTAGACTGTATAAGTAGCATCTTCATACTTTTCAGCTAGCTCAGGGTAGGTGTCATGAACACTTTTAAAGGCAGATTTCCAGAACCTGACTGTGCACATGTTGTGACTTTTGAGCCTGGCTAATAAGAAAAGTAATAAATAATGGCAAATTTAGCATATAATTTTTGTCTACTCTCTACTGAAATCCACAAATATGATAGTAAATAATGTTTAAAATAAAACAATAATCCCCAGGGAAAAAAGAGAAGACTCGCAACAATGAAATTTTAGGAGCTAGCAAGCAAATGGACAAGTGGTAAATGATTTAGCATAATTGGAAGTATTGAATAACAAGCCATCGGTAGGAAACCTAAGAGCCAACTCAATTTAGTTGAAGAACTCCCAAAAGACTCAAGAGTTGGTACACTAGTTATCTCTGGAAATGGGGGTAAAAGGAGAGACTGAGAAAAGGAGAATTATTTGAAAGCCTCTTAAGAAATAGACCATGAGAGGACTTCCGCCAAGATGGAGGTTTAGGTGGATGTGCTGTGCCTCCTCACACAACCAAGTTTAGGGACAACTAAATATTAGCATCAGAAAACACAACCAGAACACGGAAAACTGAACTTTTCAGAAGTCCGCTAACAACAAATTCTTCAGCCCGACTGGTAAGGGGCAAAACCGGCATCTGGTGAGGAGTTGCAAAGGAGGGCTCGGTCGGACCGGGCGCGGAATCCAGACGCGCGAATCCAGACGCACGGGTTCCAAACCCAGGATTGGACCTAGTGAGCGACCGAGCAACCCACCGGGTGAGCGACTACAGAAGACACAGTGGGGAGGCGGTGCAGCGAGTTGACTGCGGTTGCCTAATTGCGCGCGAGCGAGGGAGTGGGCGGTTGGACCGGCCTCGGTGGCGATAGAGGGTGCCGCCATTTCCCCGCTCTGACCACGCCCCCACATACAGCGTCACAACCCAGCGACCTGGGAGTCCAAGGCGCAGTTTCTCACATTTAAAGGGCCAGAACAGACCAAAAATGTCGCAGGAAGACCTCAAAGCCCCAGAGATAAATCTAAGCGACGAAGAAATAGCAAAACTCTCAGACGCACAGTTTAAAACACTGGTCATCAGCTTCCTCACAGATCTGGTTGATTATAGCCACAAATTAGAGAAACATATGAAGGCTAAATTAAGGGAAATGAATGGAATTCCACAGGAAACCCATAGAGATGAAAAGGAAACTGGGACTCAAATCAATGGAGTGGACCAGAAGAAAGCAAATAATGGCCAAACAGAAAAGAGTCAAGGAGCAAGAATTCAAAGAAATGAGGAGAGTCTTAGGAACCTCCAGGACATCTTTAAACGCTCCAATATCCGAATTATAGGGGTACCAGAAGGGGGAAAGACACAACCACCAGTGGAAAAACTATTTGAACAAATAATAAAAGAAAATTTCCCCAATCTGGCAAAGGAAATAGACTTCCAAGAAATCCAAGAAGCCCAGAGAGTACCAAAAAAGTTGGACTCAAGAAGAAACACACCAAGGCACATCATAATTACATTAGCCAAAATTAAAACGAAGGAGAGAATCCTAGAAGCAGCAAGAGCTAAGGGGACAATCACCTACAAAGGAGTCCCCATCAGACTGTCAGCAGATTTCTCAAAAGAGACCTTACAGGCAAGAAGGGGCTGGAAAGAAATATTCCAAGTCATGAAATCTAAAGAACTACAACCAAGATTGCTCTATCCAGCAAAACTTTCATTTAGAATGGAAGGACAGATAAGGTGCTTCTCAGATAAGACCAAATTCAAGGAGTTCATCATCACCAAGCCCTTATTATATGAAATGTTAAAGGGACTTATCTAAGAAAAAGAAGTTAAAGAAACATGAACAGTGAAAGAACAACAAGCTCACAGTTATTAACAACCACACCTAAAACGAAAGCAAACTAAAAGAACAGCTAGATCAGGAGTGGAAATATAGAAATGAAGATCTCAAGGAGGGTTAGCAACAGGGGAGTGGGAGGAGGAGAAGGGGGGAGAAGGTACAGAAAATAAGTAGCATAGACAGTAGATAGAAAATAGATGGGGGGGGCAAGAATAGCATGGGAAATATAGAACCTAAAGGACTTGAGACACATGGACATAAACTAAAGGGGGGTAATGGTGGGGTTGGGGGCCAGGGTGGAGGGGAATGAAGGGGGGAATAGAACAACTGTAACAGCATAATCAATTTAAAAAAATAAATAAATTTAAAAAAATAATTAACCTAAAAAAAAAAAAAAAGAAAGAAATAGACCATGAGACTTCCTCCCAAATATGTACAGCAACTTGTCCCTCACACCTGGGAAGAGGCAGGTGGTAAAACAATGTTAACTAGATGGGGGCG